TATGTATATATGTATATATGTGTATATATGTATATATATGTATATATATGTATATATATGTATATATATGTATATATATATATATATATATATATATACATATATATATGTGTGTGTGTGCGTTAGTTACCCGTGAGAAATCTGCATTTAGGACAGATATCTTTATAATTTTTTTCCCTCCTCCAGAGTGTGAGAAAAAGTTTCCACACTGGTGTGAACATTGAAATGTAAAAGTAACGTAAAGTGGATCAATGGAATTTACCCTGAGATTTTTCAGAGAAACACAAACAATGTTTAAAGAGTTTTGTAGCAAAGTAACCCAGTAATGTATTTTTTCTTCTTTTCAAATTATTTTACTGTAACAACATTGACCATCCTGTTTAGTTTGGTGGTTTTCTGATGTATTACATTTGATGTCATTGTCATTTTTTTCTTAACAAGGAAACAACAATGTCTTCCAGACGTTTGCTGCGTAACATCTTTGGCAAAAGCATGTACCATCTGTTTGCATAAAATGAATCTGCAACCATTTAGAGTATCAGCTTTATGAACTGGTGTTTCTTTTCATAACAGGAATGTTTTAACCCCTTAAGTGTCATGGGAAGACTCAAAGTGCATCAGTAAGAAAAGAGATATCTCTGGAAATAAGACTCAGCCTTAATTACAGAGGATCACAAAACTGTACCTGTCATAGTCTCCATTGCAAAGTGCTCTGACAGGAATGGAAAAGGGTTCCCACACAGGGTTCAAAGTGTTCTTCACCACCTCAGTCTTGTGACAGATGGTGAACCTGGAGCAGAAAATCAACAAGGATTTGAAAACCAAAAAAAAATTAATCTTCAAAACAAAATCAAGAGGAAAAACTCTCTCCACAACAGCTCTGCTTTGCTTTGGGACCATGTCTGGATGATTATATTTGTATGCAGCTGAGCTCAAGGTGGCTCGGCCTAATTCTTTTGTACTTGGTGACCTTCGTTTCATATCTTAGCACACATAAATCTGGTTTTATTCACCCACTGGGAAGTTTCCTGAGAAACTGAATCAATAGACGAACTCACGTGCCGTCCTCGTTACTTCTATAAAAAACCATGAAGGGGTCCGACTTTCCAAAGAAGTCCTTTTTATCCAGTTTGTTGGCACAGAACTGCATGGAGGCGTAATCCTACAACAGAGTCAGAGAACAGAGAAGTCCAAAAAGGAAAAGACACAGCCTTTGCGCCTGCCTCTGTTTTTTGTTTATGCATGCTGCTCGCCAAGATATAAAAGCACCGAAGCACCAAATAAAAGGAAAGTGCTGACTGAATCCCAGTCAGAGCAGAGCAACAACAACCACTGGGCACTAGTTTCCAAAATTCGCTAATCATTCATTACCACTTTTTGTTTTTCAACACCTGCATTGGAAATTTCTTATTTGTGCTGAATATAACAATAGTACAATGTGAGGCACATTGCAATAGACAGTAATGGCTTACAAGACCTTGTAGTGTGCGGGTTTGGTTTATGAACAAGAGACTGCAGCCATCAACACATTAGAAAACCTGGTATTATTATTATAGCTCTACTCAGTAAAGCACCATTTCAGTGTTCACTGGTGTATGAAGAATTATGTTCAGGCCTTTTAATGTTTTTGAACCCAAATACACTCCCTATGGTTAGACTATATTCAATAAAAATGAGGCTATGTAGTCACTGGACAGGTAAGCGTGTAGATCAGAAAAAATACTTTGTATGTTGTATACTTCATCACCAACAGCCTTCACATCCATGAGCTTTATGCATCATGTCTTCAGCTTGAAACATGCTGCATGTGCAAGTCAAGTGTCTAATCGTTGGTTCTGTGAGTGTGAGATGAAGAGAAGATATTCGAGCAGAAGGCAGAGACAGGAGTTGTTTTTAGTTTGAAGTGTTACTATTTGATCTGAATCAGCAATGTGTCGAGCACGGCCTCTATTGATTGCGTTGACCCACATTGGTGTGGCACGCCCTCCCTGTGACCTATCTCTTACTAACCCCATCACATCACCATATGCTTTGGACCCAGACAGAGGCAACTGTACAGAGAAACATGGATGTCTTTGTGGTACAACTTCACTAAGCATATGTTTCTGAAATTCAGATTTGCTGTTTTGCTCTTTTCTTCCACTAATATTGTTTTATCTAATCATCACAGCAGAAATGTTGAAATAAGGAGAAAAATAAGCTAATTGAAACAGTCGGAGTGGGCGTCGAAATGGGCTGCTGTATGTCTACTTTAATTGTCTCGTGTCATTTTCAGTTATTATTTGCGCTTTAAACCGGTTGCAATAAAAGTGGGGAGTGTGCTAATTGAAACTTGTCTTTTTCCAGCCGGGCACAGATTTAACTGCTCTGGAGAAATCCACGGAGCATTTCGTACCAAAAGTGTCTCAAGCTCTCCCTCGATGGCTTTTCACAAGAAGACCTAATTTCCCAAGTTCCCACTTGGTCGATTTGAACAAATAACTCAACGCGTTGGAAGAATTTGCTTATGTCAGTTATCAAAGGCCTTTAGAACGATCCTCTATAACCACCCTGCACAAGCCTGACGCAGCCTCTACAATTACACTATCATGCCTTAAGCCCTCATTAGGCACAGATAACACATACCCACTCTGGTGCCATGCTGTGTTGTCTCATTAAGTGAGGAAAAGGCAGAACATTCATTTCAGCCACTGAGGTTCAGGAGCAGCAGGGGAATAGAAAGTGCAGTCTGCATCCTTTCTCTGCTTTATCAAGATAGCGCGGCATGGGGGTAAGTGGCAGGGCGATGCACACTGTCACTTCCACAAAGGGGGTCTGGTCTGTCAAAGGGCTACAAAGCAAGCCGCACAATACCTGAATTCATGTTACATAAGCCTCTATGTGGCATCTTCAGGATTGCACACTTTAGTGAATCATCCGGTGAATCGTGTGCCAAAGGATTATACGGACATTAACTCAGCTCCTTTGTGGGCTTTACGCAGCATCACTCTATTTATTCTGGTGTTTGTCTGTGACAATAATAAGACTGAGGCATAGAATGTCTGTCAGTTTACGCCTATCTTTGTTTTATGAATGCACAAGAAATGAGAAAGAAATCACAATAAAGATGAATTCCATTTTCTGAATGTTAAAAACAATAAGAAAAATTGCATTTATTTTCATAATCTTTTTCACATTCAGACAAAAAGGACTCAAGATCTAGCAAAGAGCTCTGTGATTTTGGGCTCTAATTGTAAAAATGGCTTGATTTTACTTAATTGTGTATTCCTAAACAGTGTCCTGGTACTCAATGTGCTGCCGTTTGTAAAGTTGTTACCTTGAAACCAGCTACAAAAACCAGAAGTAAAATCTGAAAATAAGCCAACCCCTGTTCAGCAGCCATATGTGCCAAAGATAACGACAGCCAAGAGGAAGCTTTTGATCCATGTGGAGGCTCCTGCTCTATTCAAGAATACCTGGCAAATCCATCAAGAAGGTGAGAGTCAATTCTACAAAAACCTACCTTGTTGATTTCTGCTCTGCTGGTCCCACTTTCCCCAAACAAGGTATACAGTGTTTACCCTGAGGCAAAGCAGCACCTGAGCTGCCACTAACTATTGGTCACAGGTGGATTGCAGGATAAACACTGTCCAGATGGACTGTAGCGCTTCTAAACCATTATAATTTACAGACAGGGAACGCTGCCGGCAACAGTCTTCACAGTCATCTGTTTTTTATTTGTACAATATTTACTCCAGCCTAAGGTACTGCCATTTAGGGTTAACATGCTGTGCAAACATTAAGTCTGAAGTAACATGTCTTCCTGTCTATAATTGACTAGAAGCATGGAAATAGTCATTTTGTACCAGCAATGATCATTTGCATTTATATTACTGAATAGCTCCTTGAAGTGGTGCTTTGCACCGATGTTGCTGACACCTATCAACTCGGAAGCAGCGCACCTGATGACTCACAGCAGCCCGTCAGCGCTCATGAGCATGAGCACCGACACTTCAGTCCAGCAAGACAGAATCAGTAATGGTTATCATGGCAGGTTCATTATCAGCATGGCTGATCTGCCTAAGCCTAAGAACAGACTGATTATTTAAAACAAAAAAGTCAGGCTAGGAATAACTACTGTCAAATTAGATAAAAGTACACAAGGACTAAACAAAGCCTTGACTCGATAAGTCATAACATGTTTTAGGACATTAAGCGGGAACACAGATCCTTCATGGTTTACTCTAAAACTTCTGAGGAAGGGCAATTATTCTGCCCAGTGAGTCTTGCTGCTCTCTCCTGGTCTACTGACAGCACTGTAACGTGGTTATTTACTATCTTTGTTTAGCAGTGTGGAGAGAAAGCCAATGAGCATTAGTGGGCACAGGTTATTAATGTAGACTCATAGATTAAAACACCACGCATGAGAGCGAATGCCTGATTCAGTGACTAGAACGAAGGCGGTCTCATTAAATAGACATTCAAATTCATAGCCTTTTCACCATGTACACAATTTCCAAATGACAACACATTTGCTTGGTAACACAGCATATCCTGCTCGTTTAATGAGGACGTTTATGATTCAATGCATCTCACTGACAAGAAGGATATAAAACCTCCCACTTCACCGAAGTAGACAAGTGAGCGTTGCTAAACGTGCATTTTGCACCAGTTAAAATGTCCAATAAAACTGGAGTACCATTCGCTTTGAAAAATAAATCACATCAGCGAGCATTAAAAAAAACATTTATTCCAAAACAAAGTAAACAAATTTAGAACTGGTGAAAACTTCCCAGACTTACCCTGCAGTTTCCCAGCTCCTCTGCTGACAGGATTATGGTTCCACACGTCTTCCCAGGTATGCCCCTGTGAAAACAAAACGCAGTTATTCACACTTGTAACAACGGCAGACACAACAACCCACTGAGCAGCTCTGGCTCGGTCGTAAGAGACATTTATGTACTTTGACAAGTATTTCTCACAGTAACATTTTGTCTGTGGCTGATACTTTTCTAGAGGCAGCTGTGGACATTTGTGGAAAAAAATCAAGCAACTTTTATAAGAAGCATCTTAATTTCTTCTCGACTGGACTATTTTAAGGCTTCACATTGGTGTCAGCTCTTTTGCTCAAATAAAACGCTGCAGCTCCAGTTCTGACAAGCAAACTTCAGCAAGACCACATCTGACTTGGTTGGGCTCCTTTGCATTAACTCCAAATTTTTATTAGAAAACAGTTTAAGACTTTATTGCTTATTTTTTAATCATTGAGCAGGTTGGCTCCTTATTAGCGGTCAAATCTCCCGACTTGTATGCTCCTAAAAGATCATTTGGGTCAGACAAGCCGATGCTCTTGAATGCACAGAGAAGGAGCAGATTAAAGCAGACGGGCTGATTGAGTTTTTGGTGCAGCTGCTCCTTGACTCTAGAACAGTCTGCTCTGTCACATTAAGATGTCACCAACACAAAACACTTTTAAAACTCATTTAAAGACTTGATTTATTCCATGACATTTAGAGACTGAGTTTTTTATGTGGATTATTTTCATTTTTAGCCAGTTCTGAGTTGAAGCACATTTTATTATATTTGTATTTCTTTTCATTGCTTTAGTTATTTGCACATTTCCAGATGTTTTATCTGTGCAGCACTTTTGTCAACATAAATAAATAAATACATTTGACTTTGGCATTGTGTAACAGATATATACCAATAAATATATAGTTCCTAAATTTGATTCAGTTCAATTCAAAAATACTTTAATAATCCCAAAGGGAAATTAAATGTTGTAACTCATCCTACTGGTTTCATTAAAGAGTTGTTCTTGATGCTGATGGATGTGGGCAAGAAGGATCTCTTTTAGCGGTCTGTCTTAGAGCAGAGCTGAAAAAAACTGGTTGCGGTTGTTGATCCGTCTACTTGGACTTGGCTTCTTGGGCAGGAGGACCACCTGAAAGTTGGCCAGAGCTCCTCCCTGAACGATGGTCACTCCTCCCAGCAGCTTGTTGACCTCATCGTTGCAGACAACCAGCTGCAGGTGTCAGGGAATGATCCTGGTCTTGTTGTCATGAGCCACGCCTCCTGCCAGCTCCAGGATCTTGGCGGTCAGGTACTTGAACACTGCTGCCAGGTAGACATGGATGCTTCTATGGCTCCTCCTTTTCAACTCATTTGGCATTTGGGGGTGTAGTTGAGGTATTATTTGCTTTTGAGATGTTAATCAGTTGATCCCAGTTGTAAAAACTTCCTTGTTGTCATGGTTACACATCATAACAAATGTCCAAAAAATAAAAAGGTTTCAGTAAAAATCCTTCCAGCTGCACAGCAGACCAGAAGAAATAATCATCCGAAAACAGAAATACATCCAGAAAAAGAGGAATTAAGTTTTCAAAAACAATATCCCAGAATGAAAGTAACAGCTGCTTCAACATGCAGCTACCTTGAGTGGTGTAAATGTTTATAGAGCTAATATAAAGGTTCATAATTCATATATGTTTGCTGAAACATTAAAGCTTTTATTCAATAATCCCATATAGAATCCTTTAATTCCTAGAATTCCTTTAGCGTGACAGTTTGACAACTCTAATGAACGCAGTTTCTTTCCTACATTCATTAAAGTTTTAAAATCTATAAATGCATGCTCTCTTTAGAGTAATGTAAAATACATCTTCTGAGATATAGAACTGCTTTGATCCCAGCTTTGCCTGCAGCCCATGGTGAATTTGAAGCTCAGCGATTTTGCATTTGTTTAATGCATCACAGAAAAGGAAAAGCCTCCTGCTTATTTATGTTTTTATTCATCACCTTTTTAAAGCACTTTTTTTAGTCAATCAACTAGCTGAATATAACAAAAACTGGTAGAATATTTGCTCTAGTTTTAAATAGCAATAGAATATATTTTTATATGTGATGTCAAATTTTAAACATTCAGTGTAATGTATAAGAAGGTGCAGCTCATTCCAGGGCACAGCAGAATTCAATTTACTATTCTTTCAGTGGTGCTCCAGCTGTGGACATGCTTGTCATTATTTTAGATCAAGAAAGGAATTACATGCGAGCCCTGCTGAAGCCTTTGCAGGAGTCGAGTCATTTGAAGGTCAAACTTGTTGCAGATCTTCATCAAGCTGTGACAGCTGATCTGACTATGACTCACACTGAATCCCATACGGCTGAAGCAAAAAGACTTTAGAACTACAGTAGTTGTGGTTTGCATTATTAGCAAAGTCAGCCTGAAGCGCAGCATTGCAACAACTGAACTTTAAAGACTGGATTATGCCTGGGGGTCGATTAAGAAGTAGGGTGTGTTCCTCTTTTGTATTTGTTTGAGCAGGAAATTTTACCTTCTTTTCAGCTTCTACAACACTAGATGTTTCCAAGTTCACTCATAGTTCCCATGGCTGTAAAGCATATAGTGAAATGTGCCATTGAAGCAAATGTGGCCCCCAAGGCATCATCTTCGATCAATAGCACAATACAAGTCCAGCGACCATAGCGTTCAGCTGTAACTGCTGCATAATGTTAAATGGGACAATAGTTAAAATGGAGCCTAAGGGCAGACACGCTTAATTTCCAAGCTTTTTCTTTAAGGTCCAGGGAGGATGGTCTCAAGGTGAATTAACTGCCCTTGAATTATTGATGCTCGACTCCATTCCTCCACCGTGCAGCTCAATGATTCCTCAAAGAGCCAGTGAAATGTTCACCAATAAAACCAGTAAACCTCGCCCACTCCACAGGTCAAATGATCGTTTTGAGGTCACAGCAGTGACTGGCACTCCCATCAAAGTGGGGAATACGATCCAGTGATTGGTTAATTATCAGCTCCAGATGCATCTCCCTGCTCTAATCTCAGCTGCTGATAAAGTGAGCAAGTACCGAAAGGCCAATGTTCTTTTAAATTAGTCATGCATTCTTGAGCACGGCATTTCCTGGGACACTTACTAGTTAACGTGAAGAGGAATCACGAGCTGAATGAATAAATACCTTCCATTGTTATGATATCTGTGGTGCATGACTTCCTTTTATGGGTTTTGTACTGAAAACAGTATTTTACTGGTGTGACTGGTCCTGAGCAAGGAGGCCTCATTTCCTCTGCATTAAGTCTGCAGTAGGAAATCACTGATGATGAAACAGTTTGAAATGTAATGGAGTTGATCTATTTTTTGTACATGAACAAGGTCTACATACTAAAAGAGGGCATAAAATCTGCTTGATACATTCAGCATTTAAATATGTGAATGACTCCAATCATACAGCATTAGGCTTTTTATGCAGTAAAGCTCAGCAGTAAAATACAAAAATTGTAAACCTCTGTGTTTGGAGTTACATCATATATCCATTTTGAGCCAGAAAATAAATCATCTTTTTGGTTTTCTTGTGCATCAATTAGTCTTTTTGTCATTAGGGTTGGCTTGCTATGCAGACTACTGGAGGACAAATTGATCTCGTTTCCTTAAATGAATTGAATAGTTTTCATTTGATATTATTTCTATCTTAACATGTGATTCTCATCCTGCCATTGTGTATCTATTCCTTCTTCCTGTTCCTCTCAAACCTAGCTGGTCGAAGCAGATGGCCGCTTGTCCTGAGCCTGGTTCTGCTAAAGGTTTCTTCCTCATGAGGGAGTTTTTCCTTTCCGCTGTCGCCTTCACAATGTTTTATTGTGAGCATTAAAGATACAGAAAGAACATTAGTAAATCAGTAGTAACATTATCTAAATTAGTGGTTCGGGGAAGAGCTGAATTTATATGAATTCATTTTGATGACCGTTATCTCTTAAATTAGATTAGGTGATTTTTTTTTTCCTCTCTGTCCTCCGGTGGAACCAGACGTGTTTCCCAGTCCCCCCCACCCCCCACCCGCTTCCCTGCTGCACTCTTTTGACCTGTGAACCCTTAAAAAGCCTCTTTTTTTCTGCATACCTATTAATTCGAAGGATCAGCTGGTCTCTCAACAAAATTGATCAACTTCTCCTGACAGTAGTTAAGGTAAGGAGGACCCTCTTACCTCGACGGAAACAAACTGGATTCATGATGACAACTGGTTATTTTGCTGTTTGGCTGGTGAGTTCTGGATTGTTTATAAATTTGTGTGGATGTATCGAAGTTCGACAGTGCTCAGACTGAATTTGGGGAGCTGCAGCAGGGAGCTGGAGCAGGCTGTAATCAGGACTGTGAACTTTCTGGCAGCACCCATGAACGGTGGGAATAATCTTGGAGAAGCTGTGAGCTCGACAATTCGGCTGTTTTGGAATTCCATCAGAGGAGTATATACCAGCAAGACTTTAAAAAAAGCAGAAAAAGCAATTCATGAGTTCTGCCTGACCCTAAAAGTGGCCTTGATGCTGGACTTATCTCAACTCCTCCTGGCATGTTTTGAAAACAACAAAGATGCTTTGACTGTCTCCTCACCCCTCCCTCCCCCAAGGCCGTGGACATGTGACAGAACCTCAACTGAGCTGATGATGAATGTCACCTCTTATCTGGACAATGGCTGAGAGGGGGGGCTCTGGACTATGCTATGATTTTCCCTTAAAAATTCAATGTTTTCACCGGCCTATATGTAAATGTATAACATCTGTTTATGTTGCTTTGCTGTGGTAGGTTTTTTTGATGCCTCAAATTGTGCCCTGTCTAGGACACGACGTGAGAGATCTTTTTTTTTATACCGTCTCTCCTCATGTTTTCGTCCCTTTTCTCATCTAAGCAAAATATTATTCTGAATAAGATAAGAAGGCTGCGCTATTTATTTATAGCCACAGCTTCGTGTACTCCGCCCATCTTTCGGATGACTGTATGTACATATTCTCGTTGTATCTCGGCGCAATGCCAATAAAGTTTATTCTGATTCTGAGTCTTAATGCAGGTGATCAGAGA